AGCTTATTTGGGTCTTCAGTATCCCTTGCTATTTCCATATGGTGATGATGGATACAGAGAAGATATTCCATTCTCTGACACAAGAACTTTCAATGTCAAAGGACGAAGAAGTGTTAGCATAAAAGAGTTCCTTGCATATCGATTCCACGAGAGAATATGTGAGACATCTTTTATCTTACATTCTAGAAAACTATTCCAAGAGATTTTAGTAGACGGATATACCATGATTGAATCATTAAGGTTGGTTTACATACAGACTCATCAAAAGAAGCTACGTTGTGAAATGTACAATAGAGTGGCCGATTCATTATTCAGTGGGGACAATAACGCTTCAGCTATCGGAAGAAGAATTGTTGTTCCATCGACATTTGTAGGAGGTGCCCGCTACATGATTCAAAATTATCATGATGCAATGGCTATTTGTCGATGGACTGGATATCCAGACTTATTTTTAACTTTTACCTGCAATCCAAAATGGCTTGAAATAACAAGATTTTTGACAAAGAGAAACCTCCAAACAGAAGATCGTCCAGATATTGCATGTCGAGTATTCGAGGTCAAATTTCATAAACTAATAAAATATTTGGTGAAGTACGATCAGGTATTAAACAACATTACGTGATTTTTTAACAATTGTTGCTTTTTACTCAACATACAATACTATTTAATTTTTTTTAATTCAATTGTTACAGTTATATACACAGTTGAGTTCCAGAAACGTGGTCTTCCGCATGCTCATATTTTGGTGTTTCTCAATCAACAGAACAAATATCCAACACCAAATGATATTGATCGCATAATTTCCGCTGAATTACCAGACAAAGAACTAGATCCAAGATATTATGAAGCTGTGTGTAATTTTATGGTCCATGGTCCCTGTAGTAGATTTGCTTCATGGGCTCCTTGCATGTCTGAAGGACGATGTACAAAACATTTTCCGAAACAATTCAACACACACTACAATCGATGAAGATGGTTTTGCAAGATATAGGCGCAGAGATGATGGGAGAGTCGTGGGAAAAAACGGTGTCCTCTTAGATAATCGCCACGTTGTTCCGCACAATAGATATTTGTTGCTAAAGTATGATGCACATTTGAACGTTGAATGGTGTAATCAATCACGTTCCATCAAGTATCTTTTCAAATATGTTAACAAAGGACGTGATCGTGTAACAGCTGCTTTATATGCAAGTGCCGGTGATGATGAGAGTGCCCCTGTTGAGAAAATCAACGAAATACAACTATATTATGATCGTAGATACATTTCTGCTTGCGAGGCAGCATGGCGAATATTTGGTTTTGAAATTCAACATAAATATCCAACTATAGAGCGTTTGAGTTTTCACCTTCCAGGTGAGCAAATGATATTTTTTGATGACGCTGATGACACAACTGCAGTTGTACGACGAGAGAGTATTAGAGAGAGTAAATTTCTAGCTTGGATGCAAGCAAATAAAGATCTTCCAGACGCAAGGCAACTAACATATGCGGAATTCCCACAAAAATTTGTATGGAAATCAACAACGAGAACATATGAGCGTCGAAAACAAGGATTTTCCATAGGTCGCCTTACCTACGTCCCACCTGGAACGGGAGAAGCGTACTATTTGAGATGCTTATTGAACTTGGTGCGTGGCCCAACTAGCTATGAAGAAATACGAACTGTCGATGGTGTTGTTTACGATTCGTTCCGTGAAGCATGTTATGTAAGAGGATTACTCGATGACGATAAAGAATACTTGGACGGATTTAAAGAGGCAAGTCAATGGGCAACCGCTGCACAATTAAGGCAATTGTTCATGACGTTACTTACAAGTGAATCAATGTCTCGACCTAGATTTGTTTGGGAGAGTTGTTGGCAGTACATGGCAGACGATATCTTATATCGTCAACGACGAATACTAAATCATCCAGGTACTTTTCATAAATTTTTACTATTATTATTTATATTAAATATAACTTTCCAATACGTAATTTAATTTTAATACAAAGGCTTGCTTCTGAGTGATGAAGAATTGCAAAATCATGTTTTAATTGAAATTGAAGCGTTGTTGCGTAGTCGTGGAAAAAGTCTTCGTGATTACACATGTATGCCACAGCCAAATCTTCATGGACAATGGATTCCAGCCAACCGACTAATTTTTGACGAATTACAATATGATCTGACTACTTTGATGGATGAGCATTATACCCTCATACGCAATCTCAATGACGAACAACTTAGAGCATATAATAGAATTATGCAATCTATTGACTCTAATACGGGTTCAGTATTTTTTTTATATGGTTATGGAGGAACAGGCAAAACATATGTTTGGCGAACATTATCAGCGGCGATACGAGCAAGAGGAGAAATCGTTCTAAATGTGGCCTCAAGTGGAATTGCATCATTATTGCTGCCTGGAGGTAGAACCGCACATTCACGTTTCGCAATTCCATTAAACTTAGATGAAAACTCCACTTGCAATATAAAACAAGGGTCTCATTTGGCCCAATTGTTGGTAAAAGCCAAATTGATTATTTGGGATGAAGCACCCATGACTCACAAACATTGCTTTGAGGCATTAGACAGAACTCTTCGAGATTTACAACAATTTGAAAATCCATTCAGTTTTGAACAACTCTTTGGGGGAAAAACAATTGTCCTTGGTGGAGATTTTCGTCAAATATTACCAGTCATTCCTAAAGGAACAAGACAAGACATTGTTAATGCTACTATTAACTCTTCATGCATATGGCATAACTGTATTGTTTTACGTTTGTCAAAAAATATGCGCTTGCAGTCAAAGAGCAAAGATCAAAATTACGAGAAGTATGTTGAATTTGCAAATTGGATTGCAAATATTGGTGATGGAACAATTGGGCAAGAGAATGATGGATATGCTGAGATCCAGATACCTGATGATTTGCTACTACTGGAGTCAGGAGATCCTATTGCTCAAATAGTGCATTCCACTTATCCTAATTATCACAACATTGCAAATGATCCAAGTTATTTGCAACAACGTGCTATTTTGGCTCCGACCATTGACAGTGTTGATGCGATTAATGATTACATGATTAAAATGAATCCTAATAACGATTCTAGAACATATTTTAGTTCTGATAATGTTTGCAAATCATATTGCAGTTCTGATTTCTTCAGTGACCTACATTCATCAGAATTCTTGAACAACATACGTGCTTCAGGCCTTCCAAATCATGAGATAACTTTAAAAGTTGGCACTCCTATAATGCTATTGCGGAATATTGATCATACAATGGGATTGTGCAATGGTACGAGATTGATAGTCACGCGTTTGGCAACTCATTCAATACAAGGAAGAATTCTGACAGGTACACATTCGGGCCAAGAGGTATTGATCCCAAGATTGTCATTAACTCCTTCAGATCCACGTATTCCTTTCAAATTTCAAAGAAGACAGTTTCCTATAATGGTTTTCTATGCAATGACCATTAACAAAAGTCAGGGCCAGTCATTGTCTCACGTGGGACTTTGTCTTAAAAAACCTGTTTTTAGCCATGGACAATTATATGTTGCGGTTTCGAGAGTTACAGATCGTAGTGGTTTAAAAATACTAATATGTGATGAAAGTGGAGAACTTAGACGTTCCACAATAAATGTTGTTTATAAAGAAGTATTTCATAATCTGTAGATGTTTACGCAATGTACTTTGTAATGATTTTGCTTATAATTTTCAGATGTAAAAGAATTAATTATCCCCTAAATTTCAATTTATAATATTTGCCTATATTGATACATACTGAAGTATGAAATATACGAAAGTATGAAATCGAAAATATCTTATATTCTTATGGAGACCGTGAAAGTTTATATAATAGATTAATTTAAAGACAGAGAGAGTAACAAACTTTTGTCCGTGCAACGCACGGGTATGAATCTAGTTTTTTACATGGTTCAAAGAATTTGGAAGCAAAAGAAAAGAAGTTAAAATGAATAATAATTTTTTTATTTAGTTAGAGAAAAAAACAAACGAATGGAAAAAAATGAAAAAGTAAAATATACAAAATGGAAAACTAATTTTTTCTATTTTGGTGAAGAAAGCGTGATAGATCCATTTTCTTTTTTTTTCCTTCTTAATTCTTTAAACCAAAACATAATGTTAGTATTATGTAAAATAATCTAAATTTTAAGTTGTTGCAAGTTTTAGGTCATAGTTATACTTTTAACAGAAAAAATTGGGAAAAAAATTAAAGTAGAAATAAAATATTGAAAATGTTTCAAAATAAAAGTTTCATATTTTTATTTCCGAAATATGAATTAAAATGCATATACAGTGTCAATCATGATTATTTACATTACTAAAAAGTTGTGAAATTTTTATATTCAGTGCCACAGACCATAATAAATTTAAACAGAAATCACAATAAAATTGTGATTTTACATTAAAAATTGAAGAAAAACTTGAATGTGAATCAGAAAATAGTAATTGAATGTGAATAAAAAAAATTCAATTGTGATTTTACACCGTATTATTTGCATTAAAAATTTAAAAAAAAATGAATGTGAATGAGAAAATAGTGATATGGGAATGAATAAAAATAGAAAAATTGAAATGATTTATAACTTGTAGTTATATTAATAATAAAAATGAAAAATATTATTTTTAGATAATCTTAAATTGAAATAACACATTGAAAATGTATTTTAATTCTTATTCCAGAAATAAAAACATGAAACTTCTATTTTTTATATTTTCAATATTATAATCTTATTTTAGTTTTTTTTTTTTAAAAAACATATTTATCTAAATAGTTAAAAAAAATACTTATCTAAATTATACGAAGCACCACCATTGACAACATTGTTCATGAAAGAATTTGACAAAATTTATTTAAAAGTAAAAAATTATTAATTTTATAAGACCAAAAAACGTATTTAACCAATTTTTTTAAGACAACCAAAGACCAAATTAGACGAGTATCGACTCTGCTTAGATAAGGAAGATAATTTATTTAGCGGTAGTAACAGTGTAACACTCTTCCGGTCTCTCGACTCCTTAGCTCCGGCTCCGCCTCCGCCGGGCGTCTGTTCGTCGGCCCCTTGCCTCTCTCTTTCTCGCGCCCAGGCGACCCAGTCGCCCGCCGCTACTGCCGGTTTCCGTCTTCCTGTCACCGGACGCCGGTTGAGTCCTGACCTTCAATTCAACTTCTCAAACCCTAATTTCGTCTTTGTAAGTTCAACTCTTCAAGGCTCAAGCCCTAATTTATTTCATAGATTCAATCGTAAGGATATTGCACTTAGTGTTTATGCATTGCCCTCGATATATTTTGGCGATTGTACGTTGTGTGTTTGTGTGTATATAATTTAAAATGAGCATGATGAAAATGAACTGACTGAAACAGTTGTCTTCTTCTTAGGAGGAAAAGTAATATAGCGAAATGATTGTTTTCAAAAGAGCTTGGGTCTGTGTTCTGCAATATTGTTTGAGAATGTATGGTCTGAAAATTCACACAATGCATTTTCCTGTTGTCTTGAATTCACAGGTTTAGCTCGTAAGCAAGTGTTGTTTCCTTTTTTCGTATGTGATGTGCGATTAGTCCATTTCTTCTATCTTTATTATGTTAACAGTTTTGATTTAGCCGTTTATCTACCCGAAATTAAAACATTGTTAACATGGCTTTTAGAGTCATTGGCCGTAGATGTTGCACTAAATAATCTCTTACGGGGTATTCGCAATGTTCCAAGAAAAATATGATATTGATGATGTGGTTCTCCTGTAGGAAGACATGGAAAAGTAGAAAATGGAATGGAACTTACCTCATTTACAGAAATGATCATCACATTTCTCTTTCTGATGATGATTCTTGGATTGATTATCATTCAGGGGAGAAATGGAGCATGAAGAAGAAGAGAAGTATGCAAGCTTCTTAAAAAAAATGAAGAGAACAGTGTTCGTTGATAACCTCTCACCCATGGCCACCAAGGCTGTCCTAACAGCTGCCTTTAACCAGTTTGGCAGGGTCACTGATGTCAGTTTACTCCCTAACTACCTCAACCTCTGCAAGGCAACCCGATCCGCTTTGGTAGAGATGGAAACTGCAGAGCAGGCCGAATCAATCATATCTGAGGTGAGCAGTTTACCATTCATGATCGCGGGGATGCCAAGGCCAGTGAGGGCATATGCTGCACAGGTTGAGATGTTTGATGAGCGGCCGCCAAAACCTGGTTTGAAATTACAATACCAATGGGTGGACCGTGGTAACCCTAACTACGGGTTAGCCATGAAGATGAAGGCTCTTGCTCAAGAACATGCTTCTCAAGCTGAATTTCTGATGGAGGTATATTACACATGCTCCTGGGTTAACTATGTGTGGAACCTCGAAAACATCCTTAAATGATACGGAGTACTTTTAAATGTGTACATGGCTTAACGTAAGAAAACACAAATGAAAATCAAGTTTGATTACAAATGTGCATATATTTATATTTCATAGTTTTATTATAATGCTGGTGATTACAAATGTGCAAAATTGATTTACTGAATCTGAACCAACTATCTATATCCTTCAAATATTCTTTACTTCTGAATTTCTCACTTAATTCCTTCTTATTTTCTTTCCCTGGCTTTTTCCGGGTTCCAAATAGACCATAGTGAACCCTCAGAACACTTGTTTTCCATTCAAAAAAATGCTGGTTCTCCGCTTTCCTTGTCCCTTGCATTCTTTCTAAATACAACATATCTCTTGTTTTAGTTGTTTGGTGATACACAACTGCGTCCGTTTTGCTAACTTTGCCCTTCTCCCGTGTAGCATCAAGTGGAAGAGGAAGAAAAGCTGGCGAAGAAGCAGGAGGTGATGCTCAAGGCGAACTACAAGAAGTATCAGCTGCTAGACAGCATCACTGGGAATGGGCAAAACTCAATTGCTGATCAGTTGGCGAGGCGTTACGGTCTGCTTAAATGAGAGACTCAGTCGTCGATTTGCGTGGTTCTCTCCTTAACTCCTCCTCATTAGGTAGCTGATTTGTGAATAAGCTAAGCAGAGATTTTAAGTAATCTAGTAGTAACATTTTGGGGCAAGTAAAACACATTATAAGGCACTCCACTCCATTGATGAGTTTTGCCTTTCCACTTGTCTGACTGTATCTATCTGTCTATCTATCTATCCTGATTCTAATATTAGGCATGTTATTATTGCACCCGCCATATATTTTCTCAAATTGATTTTTTGTGGTTTTGAATGAAAGTTAAGAAAATGTGGAAGTTTACTAAAATACATTTAATGAAAGATGAAAGTGGGTGGAGTATATTAGATGAGGAGTAATAAATAAAGTAGGGGTAATTGTGGTATTTTAAATTTAAAACAAAGCAAAGATCTTTCTCGGGCAAACAAAAATGTCACTTGAGAAGATCAATGATGGACTGAGGGAGTATTTTTTTAGGGCACATGCATTAGTTTCTCATCATTTTATTTTTTAAAAAAATACTTTATCCATCTTAATTTCATTTTTCTATTTACTTGTATAACATAGAGCATATAATCTGTAAGAAATAGTAATAATAAAACTTTTTTTTGCACCAATAAAAACTATATTCATATCGTGACTCAATAAAAATAAAGCAATAATGCCCACTCGTCAATCTCACATTTCCATGCATCAAGTATATGCAAAAAATAAATGCACAAAATGAGTTACTTCAATTGCCCAAAAATGATTTATATCTTTACTATTATGACCGCACAATATCTTTTATTTGCTTGCATGTTTTCTTTGATAATTTGATAAAATAGAGTTTTGTTGTCACCTATTGTTTTGTGCTTGAGAAGAACTCTTGATGTTTTTAAATATATAAATTTTATTCTTTTTATTTTCAACGCCAATTTGCAAATAAAATTATTTTAAAAATCATGAAATTATGCACATTGATCGAAAAGAATATTTCATTTAAGATGTAGGGAGTATGTGACATATACAATAAACATCAAACATCCGGATGCATACTAGGGAGTACAAGGGTAAAATGTAAATTATTACTACCCATAATCAGCAAAGTACATCAAAACAAATGCCAAATAATAGAAATGGTTTCATGCATTAAAGGAACAATCCAATATAAAAAGTCTCTATTTAATTACTCGGTAATTTTTTAAACATTTATTTTTGCAAATTGCAATGGACTAAAGTCGAATAGAATCTACTTATAATGGCGCCTCGTTTTTTCACATGAAGTGACAAAATTACTCTCTAAATTTTAACGGCAAGGTAAGTGGCTAACTGATGTTTTGAGAGAAGACCACTAGCCAAAACAATCAAAATATTTGTAGTATAATGGACAAAACATGAAAACCCCTCTGTTATACCTTTTCCGTTTTCAATGAAATAAAAAAAGCACAAAAAGACCCAAGAAATCAACTATGCTAATAAGAACTGCAGAAACAACAACGAGTACGATGCTCTTCGATCTCCATGTTCGAAAAAACAATAAGTAGCGTCGACAATGATAAAGATTTAGAAAGAAAAAAACAAGAGAATCGAAACAGTCTAGCAATCAAAAAATGATTTCAGCTATGGTTGGGGTTTAGACTTTGAGAGCAGCTTTTGCCATGGCTAAGGCTCCTTCATAGGTTTGGTTCCCACCAATAAACCCACTCATGTGGACAAAAACACAACCAGGAATACCCACCTCCTCCGAGAGCTCGTCATCTCTAAGACCTCTCCACTTGGACGGTAGTGGCCTCCGGCTCTCAAATCTGTCGGGAGAGACAGCCACTGCCTGCACTCGCCAGCTTTTGCTTCTATCATCCTTCAATTCATAAGGGACTAGATTGTCATTGGATTTCTTCAGAAACATTTACACTATGTTTGGCTCAAGGATTTTGGAAGGAAAAGAAAAGAAAATGGTTTTCTCTCATTTTCCTCACCAAAATGGAAGGAATTTGGTTTTCCCTCCACTTGGTACATTTGTCTCCTCATTTTCTTTTCCTTCCACCTTTCCTTTCTTTTCCCCTCTAACCAAACAAGAAAAATGGTTTTCCATTTCATTTTCTTTTCTTTTACCTTTCAAATTCCTTGAACCAAACGTAGTGTTACAAACACAGAGGAAAACGGTCCTCAAGAGAAAGGTGAAGCTACCTGATAAAGAACATATTTGGTTGGCACATCAATCTTCAACTCTTCCTCAAGCTCAAACAGGTGCAGCTTCCACTGTTTGACAAAAATGTTTTGTCTCAGCACATTGTCTCACATTTCACATCCAGCGGTTTACCATAAAAAACTTTTAGTGATGTTTATAGCGAGAGTAGAGCAATTGTAGTTATCTTTATTTTCTCAACTGGAGGATTGCAAAAGTGGTATAAAATTGCTACTTATTTAAAGGGTAAGCGTATACTTACCGGGCAAAATCTATTTAACACCATGATTTCTCCACTTGGATCAACGTCCTTCCTTGAAGCAAGACACTCCATAACAATTGACCGGGCAGGCAACCATGATTTTGCATGATAACGAACATTCTGAGCATATAAGAACATGTTATACATAAAGAGAAAACAACAGTTTCTATTTACTAGTCAATCATTAATCCTCAAACATAAAAACTTAACTCAAGTTCGAAAATTAATACATTTGCAGTGTGGCCATGAGCCAACCCTCTACAGAGAATTATTCTAGGAAAAGGATGCATAGAAACATTTTCTAAAGATTCTGAAGGAGTCTTACATCCATAAACTCACTTCCAGCTAAATACATTGCACGAGAAAAAGCCTCATTCTCCTTCTCTGACGAAGGATCAGGTTCAGTCCAATCCAAGTTAAATCTCCCAATTCGTGAAGATAAATGTGTATTGTTGACATATTTGGGAGGTTGGTCAGTGTCATACTGATTAATTCCGTTGTCTACAGCATCAATAGCCTGTTTCAAGCATTAAAAGGCTTTTTAGTCCAAAAACCAAAAGAAAATACTTAAATTCTTCTATGCGGCTAGAGAAAACAGAATGCAATTTCCATGGAAAAAGTGCAATTGATTCGCAACAAGGAGTGATGTGACAAGACAAATGGTTTGGGCTTAGGTGAGAAATACCAACAATCCCAACATCCCAATGTGACTGAGTGAACTATGTTAATTTGTGATTTACTACTTTTGGGGGCAAAAATATAACCCCTTGTCTTTTAGCATCTGGAATTTCATTTAGTATTTAAGAGAATGTGGTATAAATTTGGCATGTTATGAACCTTCTTTACGTTTCATGATAGAGAAGCTTTAAAAAATGTCCATGATAGGGACCAAGCCATGCGGTTAGATAACTGAAACAGTGAATGACATCCAGAGTTGTAAAAACTGCAAGAATGCAAATTCAAGAATGAAAGGGGATGGTTTGCTGCAAACCCTAGAAAAGAGCCCAAAAAATTTATACCTCCATGAAGCTCTTGTAGACAGCTAGAAACAACCTGTGCACATCTGGATGTTCTTCTTCAACTTGAAGCTCTTTTGCAATGATCTCTTTTCCAAAATGCTACGGAGAAACAATACCAATCAGGACTCTATAATCCATAATAATAATTAAACAAAACCCAATCGCATGCCAAATATAATACTCCTAACAATGATCCATATAAGCTCCATTAACAACTTCAAAACAAAATTCAGACTTCATGGTGTGAGGTAAAAAGACAATAGCCAACAATGTGTCTGTAATTAGCTTTACCTTGTAAACAAGACCAGCACTACTAAGCTTAGTCCCAAACCCATGCCCAAAGATTTCCTCAAATCCCTTCTGATGGTGATCATACCGATCTCGACTATGGTCATAAACCCCTCCAACATCAAGAACAGCATCAAGCTTCTCCAACACCTAATTAAAATCAAATCAAGCATTTCAACAAACAGTTTATCTGCAAAAACGATTCTTTGCATACACACACACACACACACACACAATATGTGCCATTTCCGCGAACCAAGAGATGAATCCCACAAGATGGAAAAGGTGAAAGTTACCTGGGAATCACGGGTGCGGACGATTTGGGCGTCCTTGAACTTGTTGGTAAGGCGGATCATATAGCACCCAAGAGCTTCGTCGCAGTGGAAGCTGCCATTGTGAGTGCCAACACGTTTCAGAGAAGAGGGGGAGGAGGAGAAAGCTTCAGCCGCTGTGGAGATGGTAGCCATAAGAGGTGATTTGAGGGTGCTTAGTCTCAAGAAGTTGAACAGACCTTTGGGGACGATTCCCTTCATCAGGGCCGGTCCTGATAATTCATAGGCCTGGGCCGAAACAGAAAAAAGGACCTAAAAATCTTATCCCTAATGATCTAACAAATTAACATATGCAAACTAATTATATTTAAATAATAATTAACCCAATATTATTAGAAAAAAATGACAAAATTATTTAGGAGCCATGGCTATTGAATTATTTCTGAAATAAAATCTAAATTCATAAATTCTACTACTTAGTAAAATCAAATATGAAAAGCAAGCAAATAAATAAATATATCATAAATTCATATCAATTCATCAATTTTTCTTTTTTTATTTTTTTTCTTTTTCAGTTTTAATTTTTTTATAAATCATAAATTCATATCAATTTGTCAATTTTTCAGTTTTTAATTTTTTTTGGGTTTTTAGTTTTTATATATAAATATATCATAAATAACAAATTCAATCAATTCATCCAAATCAAATAAATAACATGTAGAACCATTAATTCATTCAATTTCAGAATGAAATTAGAAAAGATTTCAAATTAAAAATTAATAATTAATCCTAGATTTTAAATCTAAAAAATGAAACAATGAAAGAAAATTAAGAAACAAAAATTACAAAATTGGAAAGCTATGAATATGGAATACCTGGAGGCTGGAGGTCGGGGTGGTCGGCGTCCGGCGGCGTCAAGACCTCGTCTGTCGAGAATCGTCAAATTGGTTCTTCGGCTTCTTCCCAAATCGGCAAATCCCAATCGCGTCTGTCTCCTTCGGTTCTTTCTTTTTTTTCTTTTGTCTACGCGGCTAGGAGATTTGGAATGGGCCGTATGTGCTGGGCTTCTTTTATGTATATATATACATAATATTTTTTAAAAAAACACATGTGCCCCTTAAATCCATGGGCCCGGTCTGGACGGACACTTTGTCCACCTATTGGGCCGGCCCTGCCCTTCATTCCTCAACGCAATGAGGCGATGAGCTCTTAAATAAATGTTGGAGCAATTAAAAATTTTGTTTTAATGATACCAAACCATTTCTAATTGTTTCAAGGGTATTTGTAGTGTCTTAGTACAGCTTACTCCAAATCAGCCACCACTCAACGCATATCAACATTGACTGTACTCAATATCTCATTTCACCCACTCGACTCACACCTAATTACCGGAACGATTATATTCCCAAAACTCAATATGAATCATCTCCTCAATCCCAACCAGCACCAGTTTCAAGCCAGCACCCTCGAAGAAAAAACATGAGATAAAAGAGGTGCCAACATAAACAATGAACTCCGACATGACCAAATGGACAGAGGATGAAGATGACGTTGCACTAGCCAAATCCTATATGCACACCTCAAAGGATCCTCAAATTGGTATGTTTTTCTTACGAAGTATAATTATATTTTTTCGGTTATTACATTTAATTTTTTCGTTTTTAAAACTTTTTTCTAACACGTTTTAATTATATTCTATTTTTTAGGGCATAATCAAATGTATTCATATTTTTCAACTCGTGCTGGGGCCTAGGGGTTAATTTTTTGAGGCGATGGGGCGCGGCTAGTATCGCACCGCGAAATGATCTCGAGTAAATGGGGAGACATATAAGCAAAGGTTTCTAAATTCTGCAGTATTTGAAATGAGGTAAATAGGTCACGAAGGAGTGGGCAGAGCGACACATACGTTATGAGCGATGCCTTTACCCAATACACTCATGAGCGGGGTGCGTTTGCGAGTACCGAGGCATGAGAAGTCATGCGTGAATCCATGAAGTGGCATACTGTCCCGAAACTTCAAGTGTCAAAACGGTCAAAGATGGATTTATCAACTGATGTAGGTTCGAGACATTCCTCCTCTGATGAAGATGAGAAGGAGTACACCCCGCCTCCAAAACCTCGTCCCTCCCCTCCCCCCGATCCATCAATTGAGGGAAGTGTCCAGTGTCCTCAGGGACTAGCAAGTTGGAAGAGACGTTGGACGAGATATCAATGTACATGAAAATGTTTGTTTTTCTCCAACAAGAAAAACAGTACAACAACTACATGCGCATGATGTAGACTGCAACAGATCACTTGACCTTGCACGCTAGAGAAGACGTCGATAAGGCTATGGCAATCATCAAGGTAAAATGGAACATGGACAACTAGTTGTCATTTTTTAAAGAAAAACTTCACACGAATACTCCAAGAAATTTGTGACTTTTTGTTAATGCTCTGAAATTAAATAATTTACACCGCTACTCCCTGAAATTGTTTAATTATATATCAACACTCCGAGCTGCCAACTAAGCAGAATACGTGATATTATAAATGATGCCCGTAAATTATTAAGTATCTATTCGTAACTACAGAGTGATATAAAATAAAAGAAAATAATGCTTCAGACAAAACAAAGAACTTTAAAGTACATATTTTGTATTCAAATTTATTTTCGTTGGAAAGACCTGTAAAATATAAATTCTAGACTATATCAACTTTAAAATTATCTATTTTTTTATCTGGAGCACTATTCATAATTTATCCGATTAAAACATAAACACTTTATTTTTCAGTATTAACATATTTTTATATCAAATCAATATAGAGTGGAGTTAGCAAATCGGCCGGTGAGGCCGGATTCAGGGTTCAGGTTACTTCGGGTTCGGGTCAATTGGATTCGGGTTGAGAACTGTATGTTCATTACTCAGTGTCATCGAATTCGGGTTGACCTAACGAGATTTGACTCTGGTTTTAAATTTTTTTAAATTGACAATACCAATTGCATTTTGTATATAATAAACTTATAACACCAAAAACATGTATTAAAGCTACTAAATTATTTTATTCTAAATTCAGAAATAATTTTTAGATATATAAATCAATATAAAGAATTTAAAAAATGCATAAGTTTTATAAAAAAGTAAGAATTTTATGCAGCATGATTAAAATTTGTTCAAAAATATAAATTTATACATTAAAAACGAGTACTAATGTATATGATTTTGAAAAACTCTTACATTAGTGGGTCGGTCGGATTGGGTTCGGGTTTAGTCGGGTTTGACCCCTTTTTAGCGGGTCATTTCAGATTTGGTCATCAAAACATTTGTTCAAAATCTAGTATTTTTGGGTCGGATTTTGGGTGAAAAACAAGTCGGATCATTTTTTGTCAGGTCTAATATAGAGGAAGACAATTATAACGCATACATGATATTTTATTTATTTTTATAATTAATTATAAACTCTTACTACCTCCGTCCCATTTTATAACGCCTGTTTCGGTTTACGATGTTTGACTGAAATTATTTTCAAATCATTTTATATGACAAATGATATAGAATTAAAAAATAAAAATTACATATTAAAAAACTACATCAAAAGATCTACAAAACTAGCAGTGACAATAATATTTTATTTTATCAAATTGCTAACGAAAATAAAGAAAGAAAGTGAATGAAGTTTGACCCTGTGAATAGTAAACAGACATTATAATTTGGGACGGAGGGAGTACTTAGTAATGATCTAGTCACCATTTTAAATGCCACGTATTCAACACACTTGGCAGCATGGAGTATTGATGTAAAATTGAGTAATATTTGTGAACAATTATAAATTATTTAATTCCGAAATATTATCCTAAAATCACAAATTTTTTGAATTATTCATATCAACTTTTTTTTTCTTTTCAAAACTCATAATGGGCACAAGAGTGGGACCATAGGGCGAGGGTTACACCTTTTTTGTTAGATCCTCTTGCTGGTACTACGGCTCTTTCCGTAGAAAATCCGAATCCTATTTGGTTCTGGTAGGTTTATACGGACTACTACTCTACTATATGTTGTCTTCTTTCTTTGTGCGCGCAGCGTAGCTTTGTCCGCGTCACAATGCCGCGGAGCCACGCGCCGAGAGAAGAAGCGGCGACTACGAGGCTCAAGAGATAGATAGATGAGCAGGCGCGGTGAAATCGCCGCCGCATGTCCGCGTATTCGATCAACAGATCTGCTGCGGGCGCGGCGAATCTCCCCCCGTCACTGACCGCGAATTGCGGCGCGAATTGAGGGAGTAATAGACAGTGGTAGCAGCAGCATTTTGGATGGGTTGCAGCGGGTCAAAGCCGGCGGTCGATACAGAGCTGGTGATCCGCTGCCGAGAGCGCAGAGATTTCATCAAGGCCGCCGCCGGCTACAGGTACGACCTTGCCGCCGCGCACGTCTCCTACTTTCGCTCCCTCAAGGAGGTCGGGGACGCGCTCCGCCGCTTCGTTGACGAGGAACTTGCTGCCGCGGCATCTTCTTCTTCTTCTTGCCCGTCTTCCCTATCCTCTCCCTCATGGGTTGTTCATTCTGATGGAGCAGCTGCAAAAGAGCTGTCTTGTTCCTCGAGCCCTAATCACCGTGACTTCAATGACTTCAATGGGTGCGGAAAGGACTCGCATTTGCATTTATCATCTGATGCCTTCGATGAGGAGCATTTGAATTCGAACCATTTTTGCGAAACAAGTGGTCGCGGCTTGGGCGGGGATGAAGATGAAGGGCACTCTTGGCCGGCTTCTCCTTTCTTGCATCCAGATTTGCCAATGGGAACTCAGGGGCCTTACGTTGTAATGAATCAAGAGGCCCCTCCACAGATGGGATTTTGGGATCCTTTCTATACCTTCCATGCCCCGTCGACTTCGCAGTTTCGGGCCTACAATGGCGGTAATTCCGATACACATGCTTATTACATGAAGAGACATACCCCTGAGATGAGAACTGTAATTCACCAGGCTGGAGCTGCTTCGACTGCATATTCCAATGAGTATTGGAGCTCCCATTATCAAAATGGAGAGGATTTCTTTGGATATCCGCCTGTAGGTCCATCTGAGGGTGAAAAGAACAGGAATCAGGCTAAGAAGCCCAGCCCTCCAGAGGATGTCCCACCGCCTCCTTCTTCAACGACCTCCGTTTGGGACTTTCTGAATCCGTTTGATGGAATTGACCAAGGGATCTCGAGTTACATGGGTTATGGAAGCCATGCATATGGGTCAGCTAATTGTAGCCCGGATTCGGCTGAAGTGAGGAGGAGGGAGGGGATTCCTGATTTGGAGGATGAAACAGAAATTGAGATGCACGTGGATGAACCTATGGTGAAGAAGATGAGTAATGATTTCAAGAAAAAGAGGGCAGGAGAGGGGACTTCAGGTACCCGTGGAAAGACCCAGCAAAGGCGCAGCGCTGGGGTAGAGCAATCAATGAAAAGAATGTCTCGTAGGAAACCAACTGTGTCATCCAAATACGCGGAAGAATACCTTGCTAAAAAGCCAATGCCCACTAAATCTGGTAAGGGTTCTCCGGTTTCAAGAGGATCACCAGCGCAAGACAGTTCTGGCAGCAGCCCCAAACCACATTCATCAGGAAATGAAGAGTGCTCTATCTGTGATGTTACAGGTTCAACCGATGTATCAGAGGAGAAGGCCAGTTCTGACACCATTGTATCAAAGAGTCCTGGAGATGGAAATGTTAAGACAAAAGGAGTGACTTTTGAGGTAGATCGTGAATTTGTATCTTCAAAGTTAAGTAATTTGGATAATACTGCTTCACGTGGAACAAGAGATCTTCGAGAGGTTGTGGCTGAAATCAGAGACGGATTTGAGATTGCTTCAAGTTGTGGGAGGGACATAGATGTGATGCTTGAGGTTGGAAAGCTGCCTTACCACCCTACATTCATTCGAGGTACAATATCCTGTGTATGCGTCTTAGTCTAGAGCTTCCTTGTCGCTGCTGCTGTGGAATTAATCTCTCACTTCAAACGTTCATCATGTTGAGGGTTCATATTTTTGGAATCATATAGGTACCTTTGAAATTTTACCACAAATCT